TTGGTGGTTACAATAGTGCTCAAGACACACAGTGATTTAGGAAGAAATTGAAAATTGCGGGAGACATTTAGCGATAAGCATCATTAATCATTGCGGTTTGTCTATCAGACACTGAACATATTTTTTTACATACAACATACACTTTTAAATTAAAGATTTATAACTAATCATGGATTGAGACCATTACCTCTAATCTGTACAGCTGATAAGATTACATCAGGTAATTCACTACAAAACATTGTGATGGATTCATGTGTGGTTATTCTCTCATTGGTACAGAATATGTTTCATATGAACACATGGCTAAATTCATATGGCTACAAGTTTTTATTCATCTCTAAATAGGAATTAGAGGTGGACAATTAATAACTTGGGTACATTGTACAATTGTGAACATTATTATTTTCTTTCAATTACTTTTAATTCAGAATTATAGAAATGTTCAAATATAAGATTCCAAAGCATATATTGTTTCTGCAGGACTTTCTTCCTCTTGATTTTCTACTGTAAAGAAATGGTGCGTGGTAAAAAAGTTTCAGAAAAAATGTCATCGTGGTCAGTAAAATAGTAATGGACATGGTAAATGTTTGTAATTTGAATTAAAGTGTTGAATGGAAAACAAAAGATAGATTAATAGTCACTACATTTCATTGTCATTCAAGTTTAGAAATGCATAGACACCATTTTAGAAATCTAAATTTTAAAAGTCATGGTGTTGTGTCACCATATCCAAGTGGTAACTTCACTTTTTGGGAGAAATTAGTGTTAGGGGATTGAATTACAGACATAGTTTTGGATTTGAAACATTGTTAAAATAATATTATTACAAGCAAAATGGTGACGTATACCAAACTCCACACTATATTTGTTGTTATACCATCAACCATTTTAGACCATAATTTTTATGATCAACATTTTGGTGCAATATTAAAATCAGTGTAAATGTTATTTTAGTATTTTTCAATAATATTTTTGGTCATTTTCAGTCAAATAGACATAATTTTAGCTGCAGGTCTAATTCAAAATTTCGAGAAAAAAATCGGTGAAAGTATAACATTTAATTTTGCGAATTGTGATGAAAGTTAACTTTTGCACTCAAAGAGCTGTTTTTAACTTGCAATCATCTAACAGTATTTACTTGAATTCATGAATCTTACTTACATAAATTATGTATTTCACAAACATTTTAATTAATTTTAATGATGAGGGCGAGGTTCTACCAGTTGGGACTATTTGTGACTTTTTCTACAATGATTTTTTTATTTATATTTCTTAAATGCAAAGACCCCCTCCCCAAGGTTTTAATTTTCCATCATTTATATTTATAAAGTAATTCATAGCGAGGCACAGCGTGTTCCCAAGAAAGCCAAGTATTAGGAAAGCAATTAAGTTCAAATCAATGCTAATATTTAATTAGTTCAAATAGAACAAGAACAAATAAATGTCTAAATAAATAAATACGTTAGTGACAATTTTACAGTAGCCTCACATATGAATAAGACTTCATTTAGGGACGACGTCAAAAGATCGATGTCGGATAAAAAACTTTATTCCTTTAGTTTTTTTTCCA